CCTCTAGCTGGCTACGGTCAGGCGCCGACTTTGCTTGCGCGGAGTTTCGCAACAGATAACTTCCACAGCGAGGGCATCGTCCGGTGGAGAACCTCTAACCTACGCGCTCCCGACTGAAGTGGATGAGAGTGTGAGAAGATAGAAAGATCCGCAGGCCGTGGCCCGTTTGTTAAGGAGTGATCCGCGTTCGCTGACTGTTGATCGAGAAACCGACGAATATACCAATCAGGCAGAGACGGCCCGCTATTATAGCTTAGTAAGAAAATCCTGCCATCGTGGACTCGAACATAGGACCAAGAATCGATAAGAGAAAAATTCATCCAGTGCATCTGCAAAAGCAAATCGGCAAGAATTTGGCTACTACCTTCATAGTTGGCCTTAGTAAAGAAATGACTTCCGCCAAAACAGGAGCACAGTAATTTGAATAACTATATCCCCAAAACCTCTAAGACAGGGCACTGGGATAGTGACCCAAACCTCTTCTCTACCCACAATCAAGCAAAATAAATTCTTCAAAATATGTGCACATAGTAAGTTAATTTATATGTCCAGAGCAAAAACAAGGGCATCGTCGCATATTCGCTAAAGATCATGGGAACTGAAAGAAAACCCCAAGAGGGATATTGACCAAAAGCTGAGTACAATACTTGACATTATTAGATATATGTAAAAATGTAATAAGACATCAGACTCGGCATTAATAAAGACATATTTTATATATTATATTGATTATTATATTATATTATATTATTAATATATATTAATATATATTATATATATTTCGTGTTTCGTGTATCCTCCGGTTCTCAGTTACAAGTTGTTCAGTGTTGGTGTGAACCATAGTTCCGCTTGTTCTATCATCACAAATATGATATGTGCAACCTAGTGTGAAGATAATATCAGAAGATGTGAAGTGTATGGGATCCAAATAGTAATCATCGGGTCGGCCAATATCGGAAAGCCAAGGGCGAAATCGCGTGATGAAACAAAATGGCGGTGTATAACAATGTAGAGAAAACGAAATCCGGTACAAGGAGCTTCATCAACGTTCACCCTAGAAAGAAGAAGAATAGAAATGACTCTATAACCTGACCACAATATGTCACCGAGTATGAAAGAAACTAATACAAATAATCAAGCCGTCCAGCATATGTCGGAGAAATCGACGAAAGCTAAAAATCTAGAATGAAAATCAAGAAAGCAAACTACTGAACAAGAAGGAACAATCTGAAGGAAACATGTCAAAAAGACAGAAAGCAATTCTTACAATCAAATACAAAAAATAGAGCAATTGATATATAAAAGCATAAGTGGAAATCACGGACAAAACAGCAGACTACGCTCTCCATGAGAGATAGAGAAGTTGCCAAATAAAATATAGAGGCGCCGATGGAGAATGTGAATCGACGCACAAATGAGCACAAGAAGACAACAAAATCTAGGGTAAATAAAGGAGAAAATCAAAGGGAATGTTTGAGGAAGAAAAGTATTCAATGGTGAATAAATAGAACAGGGACAAAAATTAAATGAGGATGCCTATACTTCAATGAAGCTTAGACACAGAAAAATAGGAACTACATATAGACTGAGATACAACAGGCTAAAACAACTTAAAATGTTGTGTTGCATGAGAGAGCTACAATATAGTGAGAAAGAGACAAGCAATTGTTCATGCAGACTATGTCAAGGACTTGACAAATGTAAATTTATGTAGACTTGATAACACTTGACTACTCACAATGGATTGAACACAGTGACATATAGGAATCACAGTACCTTTTAAAGCGTGTGATAACATTGAACATGGCAAGAATTTTCATAAATCCGGTGAATTTGCATCCTACCAGAATTGTCCTGGTTTTTCAAGAGCATTCGATCATAAAAGAAGCGCATTCTGAATGAGCTTTTTTGGTAATCGTTAAACAATAGCCCTGTGAGATATTGGGTAACAGAAGCAACTAAAAAAAAACAAAGATTAACCTAACTTCATAGCAGGCTACAAAAAAGCACTCGCCTACGGAAAAATTAAATCAAGGAGAATACTAGTAATTCTTAAAAAACTATATTTGATCATGATTAAAACGATTGATTGCATACCCTTGTGAAGCATAACTGGCAACCATTAAAAGAAAAAAACTAATATAAGAATACTTATAATTCAACACACCAACAGAACAACGTTCCTTGCCTAAAAATTAAAACTTTAAAGTGCGAACTCCAAGGACTCTGCACACTTATGCGACACAACGAAATAAATACATAATAATAATAATAATAATAATAATAATAATAATAATAATAATGTCTTTATTAATGGCGAGGCTGAATGTATTAATTACCATTAATTACCATATAATTCTAAATAACCTGTAACAAGTATTGTACCTCAGCTTTTGGGTCAGTGACCCCCTTTTGCTAGATGTGGTAGGAGTAGAGAAGAGGGTTTGGGTCACTATCAGTGCCTGTTTTCTAGAGATTTTTGGGAAATATAGTTATTCAAATTACTGTGCTCCATGTTCTCATGGCAGGAAGTCGATTTCTTTACTAAGGGCACTATGAGGGGTAGTAGCCAAAATCTTGCCGATTTGGCTTTGCAGATGCACTGGAGTGAATTTTTCTTATCGATTCTTGCGTCCTATGGTTCGAGTCCCGACGATGGCAGGATTTTCGATACTAGCTAGATAGCGGCCGTCTGCTCTGATTGGTAATATTCCGTGGTTTCTCCGATCAACATCAGGCGAACGCCGGAGCACTTCCTTAACAAACGGGCCACGGACCATGTGCGTGATCTTTCCTTCATCTTCCTCACACTCTCTATCTCACTTGTCGGGAGACCAGTCGTGAGGTTAGAGGTTCTCCCGACCGGAGCGATGCCTCGCTGGTGGAAGTTATCTGGTTGCGGAAAATCCGCGCAAGCCGACATAGGTCGGCGCCGGACGTCGCCAGCTAAAGGGGGCGAGATCACTTGTCATATCCTGCAATGAAAACGTGCAATACACTTACGGATCTCTGTCACTGACGCACCGGAAATCACTCGCTCAACCAATTATCAATTCTTGCGAAAAGTGCTAATTTCCATCTGTATTCAGAATTAAACTTGTATATGGGTTAGGATAGGGAATTCTAGAATTTAAGAAAACTTGCCCAGAGTCCACTTCTCCCCATAGCACAACAGATTTTAACTGTTTTTTCGTTAAATGCATTTTAATTGTTTAATGCCATCCGGCAATGTGTTGTAATGTAACATATATGTATTAGATGTGGATTTCTTGTAGGGAGTTGTTGATTTATTGACCCAAGATGCACGTGGTAGATTAAAAAATGCCAAGTCAACATTTTCCAAAATTTTTAAAAAATTGCTCCAAATTTTTTGATTGAACTTAGTCCTCGAATAGTGGAACATGAAAGAAAGAGCTATGGTTCTCATATTGGTTGAAATCCATGAATTTTAGAAAATTAAAAAAGTTCAAACATTTTTCAGTGCCCCTACAACCGCAATATTGAAGATAGTGATTGGTTTCTTAAATAAAATTTCTTCCAAGACAAATCTTGAAATAAGTACATGTACAATTTTTGTAAAAGATCAGAAGTTTTCACATATTTTTCGTGAATTATTTTTATGCAATTTTTATACAATTATTTGCTTTAAAATGTTAAATACTAAAACTATTGTTATGTTAGAGGAAAATGTGAATTTTCGAGAGAAAAACTTTTATTGCTGGTCCCTCGTAATGCTAAAGTGGATAAATCTCATTCCTGTATGGAGTAAAATAGGTCCTCAAAACATTGTCAAAATCCGCATTTGGTGGATTCTTGATACTGAAAATTTGGATTATGGCAAAACCTCTGTCTGTCTGTGAACAATGCTAGCTTCTAAACCGTAAGATTTTCTCCAAAACAGATAGTCTGCAATCGATTGAAGTGATGGCGTGTCCGATTGAATTTGAAACAGATATTTTATATATGAATTTGATCCCTAAATTTTCGAAAGACTTTCGAGAAACTTTCACTAACACGGCTCCAGATTTTTCCTTTAATTTTTTCTCCGCTACGTAGCAGGTGGTGCCAGTCCCATTTTCGACAAACTTTACATTTTTGAAAATTACAACAAAAATATTGTAATGTCACATTCTAATTTTCCATGCTTCATTTAAAAAGTTTTGATCACTAATGAAGGTAATGAAATAGATGGCAGTTTAGGCAAACGTATGTGAAATTATTCATACTTTTCTGTATAATGTGCTGTAAGTACTGTAACAGATAAATATATTCCTGTTTGTTTTATTTGTAAAAGTGACTATTGTTCTTGACTACTGAAATAAATGCAGATGCGCACCATAGTTGCTTCAGTTGAATTGGACTTGACTGATTTAGCTAGGGCTAGCTGAATAGGACTTATTTTTGTTTGGGCTGAGGTGTTAGTAGAGCAGAAATCGCAATATTAGAATATTACATTACAGTTTCCAATAATGGGAGAAAGTATATGCTGTTGCACCTCGAGTTTTCTTTAAATTTTGTCTTTTTATGTATCTAATAATGGTTCAAAAATTGTTGCCGGTCCCATTTTCGGTAAACCATGTTTTCGAGAATTGCAGATAATTAACACTTCAGAAGTAGAATATTCAAGATAGATATGTCTTAAATGAAATCTGTTCTAAAAAATAAGATTAAGAAAGTTCACATGTTCAAGTACAATTTTCTGTAAAAAGCTAGTATTTTTCATGTAATTTCTTCTTGAAGTTAGTGCATTTTCCAAATGTGTCCACGGATTGAGCAAAGGTCGCTTGAAAAAATGATGAAGGTCTCATTTTCATTGAACTGCGAATTTTTGAAAATTGCAAAAGTTAGTAATAAGACAAAGTATGTGCCATTTTAGGAACCCTAGTTTAAGAAAATGCGAATTGATCTTTTGTCTTGGGAATTTTTTGATAGGAAACTTTTTAGTATTATGACCAATGGTGGTGTGTCTATTTGACAAAATATTTTTTTGTGACTTGCAGGTATTGATGATGATGATATGACTATGTTTGACCAAGAGGAGCAGTCAAGTCAAATTGTGGGTATACCAGCTCCAAGCAGTAGTCAGCAAGTTACGGAACATACACACAACTCATCGCAATCTCAGCTTTTATCTCAGTTGCACAGTTCATCACAAGTTCCGATTCATGTATGTTCTATGAGCAAATTCTATAATTGTGCACTGTTTCTGTGTATGAGGTATGTTACTATTTGTGTAATATCTTGTGTTTATTAATTTTCATTTGTTGTGTAGAGTGGAGCTCCAGCTTCTTTAAGATTTACTTTGGAAGATGGAACTGTTGTTCTTCAGTCTACTCCAACCTCTGTACAATGTGCAGATAGTCAGGTAATTCAGCAGAATTTTATTTAATTTTATCCTCCACTCTCCAGTTATGTCACAATCATTTAATGGAAAAATGTTTGTGATTTCTTCTGTTTGTTTTTTCGTATTACATTTGAGGTGCACTAAAAAAAAAAGGTCATGGTTTTGAACTGATTACTCTAAAACTTATGTAGCTGATGTGCGTAATGTGTTATTTGGTTATTAATTCTGGTAGGTTAATTAATTTAATTAAAGAAAAACCAACCTATAATGAAGTTCAAACACCTTTCTAAATTTTTATTTCTAGTCATTAAGTATCTGTATCGGACTCTCTTTTGGCACAATGTTTATAATTCTTCTGGCAACTGCAGGGTTTTATAGTAAAATAGGTTTGGATGGTAAATTTTAGTCTCGTCAAAAAGTATTAAGTGATGTGCAAAATGCAAGATTAAACTACATCAATCCACAGATTTAGAAATTCATATTAGATAGTAGTAGTATTCAGTTATTGTTGTGAATGGTGTGTAGCGAAAAAAAGAAAGGGAGGAGAAAATACTATGTATTTTCCTGTGTAAATTATTTGTTTTTCATTGTGTATCAAATTCATGTGAATGCATTTATCTGTAACAATATCTAGTTGTTGTTTTCTTTATTTTTATTGTTGTTGTTATTATTATTATTATTATTATTATTATTATTACTACTACTACTACTGATTAAAATTAGAGAGTTTGTTATAATTCAGAATTTATTTTAGTAATGTTTTTGAGCATGTTCTCCATTGACAAAAATTAGTGCTCAGCTTATAGTAGAGATGCAAATTTAATTTAAATAGAAAGACTTGCCAGGGTCTCTGTGTATGTTGTAGCTTTCATATCGCTTTTCCATTTTATATTGTAAGAATGTCATGCATCTTGAGAAATACTAGTAAACAAAAATTTTGTTTTGTTTTGAGAAAGCCTCGAAATTTTCAGCTTCAGGAGCTTTAATATTGTGATATGCGATAAGTAGAAAACTTTTTGGATTTGGTGAAATAGAATGAACGATCACATGCTTTTCCAGTACATTGTGAAGCATTGCACGATTTTCTGTTTGATTGAAAAACAGTTAGGCATTCACAGTACAATGGATCCCCTCTAAATTGTATGATGTGGGGTTTGGAATGAAAGTACCTTTGTGGAATAGTGTCCAAGAAGGGGTTGCATGAATATAGTAAAGGTACAGAGACAAGTTCTAGGTAAAGGTATTTATTATAGGAGTTGCCATAAGAAGTTCCACTGTATTTTTGACTTACCATATTAGAATGTTGATATTTACAAATTGTACCAACCTAAACCTACTTTTACAACAGCATCAATTTCGGGGCTTGCTTTTTTCTGGTTTTGCAAACTAAACACCTCATGTTAATGAGGAAAAACTGTAAAGCTAATTTGAGAAATAAATGTAGTAAAATTGAGCTCATTTTATTAAAAATTAAAATTATAAGAATAAAAATCGCTTACATTAACACTAATTTTAATAAAGCCTATGTTGATTGAAGTTTTTGAAATAAGCATCAAAACGTGCACATGGAATGTAATTATTATTAAGTGTAAGTATGTTCTTTAAATAATTATTTCTTTCACATTTGCATACCCTTGTAATTTTTTTTTTTTTTTTCCTGAATGTTAATTTTCAGTCAGGTGTACAGAGTGAAGTTTGAATGTATGTTCTTACAATGTCCACACAATATACAGTAATTCAAGAAGTAGTGGCAAAATTGTGGAAAAGTATGTGATGGTTGCTTTTCTTCTTTGTATTTCTTTTCTGTTGGCTACTAGGATTGTTTAGTGCTGGTTGTGTAATGGCAGCTTTATTTTCTGTTTTGTTTGTATATGTTAGGTGTAGGTACATTCATGATGTAGAGATAGTTACCTATTTTCTTGCCAGTAGCTGAGTTTTTATGGTTGATGCCTTTCAAAATTACAGGCATTGGCTTCAGGCCAAACAAATCATCCACCTATTCTTCTACAAAATGTAACTCCCCAACCGGGCCAAGGACTGCAGCATAGTCTAGCTGCCCATAGTCAGTTGTCAGCTCTGCTGACCGCACACAGTACTGGCACATGTTCTGGTGGTGGCATTAATAATAATGGTGGTAGTAGCAGTAGTTGTAGTAATAGTAGTAGTGCTAGTAATGGTAGTAGTGGTGGTAGTAACATTATTGCAACTGCTACTACTTCTACCACTGCTACTAGTCCTAATAGTAGCAGTAGTAGTAACAGTAGTAGGAGTTGTATAAACAGTAATAATAGCAATAGTAGTAATAGCAATACTGCCAACATTGTTGTTTCTGTCTCTACCACTACTCTAAATGCCAGTACCATTACTATAACTACTACTACCTCTGCTACCACCATAGTAACCACCACCACAACCAGTGTCTGCAGTGCAATGCCTTCAGAAAGTCACCATCATATAGTATTATCCCATCTTCTTCAGGTAAATTCATTTGTACGTTTATTTTTCTCTCAGCTCTTTTTTCGTATATTTATGTATGTACTGTATCGCTCCATGAGTTCTCTCTCCATCTACCTGCTATGAACTTGCTTGCTTGCTTGCTTGACTGTCCTTAGCCTATATGCCCACTAATTGTCTAACAGTTTGATTGTCCTCCCTTTTGCCTGTCCTCTTACTCGTCTATCTTCTTTCTATCCTGTTTGTTCATCTACCTGTCTTCTTTTGTTCTTCTAATAGCACCACCATTGGGTATTTCTGAGGGGGTTTTCAAATAAAACTTCATTTGCAATATTAATATTTTAATTATTATTTATTAATTTTAATTGCGAGTTATTTAGAGGGTTTTGTCTCCAGTTCAATTGTATTACTGGCATCATACATGATTTTCTGTCATGAGGTTACTAATTAATAAAATAAATTATTTATTTTTCTGTATAATTAATTGTCATAAAGTGGTTTATTTTCAAAACCATTCAAATTCAAACTACAATTCGTCCCAAAACCATTTGTAGAGTTTCAAAATGGCTGCTATTGTTTGGAAACCATTTTGTACTTTATTATACTAGAGCATTTCGTATCTAATGTTCTTTGGGCATCAATGGTGTGAATTTCTCCAGCATGTTTGTGAACACAAGCATTTTGTTCTGTCTTTATTGTACTACAAAAACTTTCAAGCTTATATGATGACTGTAGGGTTGACAACTTTCATCTTAAATAAGGACATCAATCTAAGAGAGTTCATGGGATTGAAATTGCATTTATGGTATAATACTAATATTCTTGTTGCAATTCGTACTTTTATTTCACAACTGCAGTGCTTTCAGTGGCTAAGCAACTGCATTCAGTGTTCAATTTGGTTCCAAATCCAGCTAGACTGACATTCAGTACAAATTTCATTTTATTGTCCTTTCTTTTGTTATTTTTATTTATTTCTTTTTCTTCAATATGTTATTTAAACGGGCAGATTTTTCTTGTAAAATTTAACATTGAGTAAATTAAAGATTTTGTTACATTGTTCTTAAGTTTTTATAACTTGGCGGATGTGTTCCTGCCCTCAGGAAGGAATATGTCACGGCATTTCGCGTCTTTCTCGGTCGTGCCGCTAGATGTCGCGTGATCGCCAGTACTGCACGATACGGTCGAGACTAGAGATGCTGAGGGATACTCCATCGTAAGGACAGGGACTCATCCGCCAAGTTATAAAAATATATAAGTATAGCTGTTTGTGGCATGTGATGGTTTGGAGCATTATTAAAAAATATTTATGGTTCATGTAATTTTTATGGAAAAGTGGACTTGATTTATGAATGGAAGACGGAAGGATAATTCATTACCTAAAGAACTGTCCTCACAAATGGAGGAAACACTGGTTGATTACCAGTCAATCGCTGCCATATCATGTTTCAGTTCATCTATACATATATGAAATTTAAAATATACAAGGGGTGGTTGAAAAGTTTCTAGCCTAACAAAGAAATCATGACATATTCCATAATACAAATTTATTTTTCAACATAATAACCTTGTGCACTAACACACTTGCGGGCACGATCATACAATTTTTCGCAAACCGTTGAAATAAAAGGTTTTTGGTTTCCAGCCTAACCAGGAATTCACACCATCAATCACTGCTTCTCCAGTGTCAAATCGACGTTCTTTTAGGTCATTTTCGAGGATTGGGAAAAGAAAAAAGTCTGATGGATCCAAATCAGGAGAAAATGGTGGATAACTTAAGAATTCGAACCCGCAGTCATGTAGAGTTTCCTGGGTTGCGAAGACTTCGTTTGCCGATGCGTTGTCCTGATACTAAAGAACCGGCGCGCGAAAAAAAGAATATTTTCTTGTCCACAAAATAACCACAATAATGTCATGAGCCCGCCCATGGGAGATTCCAAATGCAACCTCAATGTGTTGCAATGTTTTTCGGCGATCCTGCATTATCATATCGTAAATTGCCGACAATTTTTCATCTGTACCAACGCTGAAGGTTCTCACACTTCTTTGTGCATCTTCCACACTGGCTCTCCCTTGTTTAAAGTCGGTTTTTCTCATAAGACGAACTTCAAAAGACGAAACAGTGACTTCTGCATGTCCTCAATTTCCTTTGGCGGTATTCCCTTCAAATAAAGATATTCAATGACGGCACTTTTTTTTCATACTCTCCATTTTACTTACACAATGACAATCAACACGTATCAACCACTCTTCCGGCAAAACGAATAAAGCTGTGCTCTAGACATTTCCCTTGCACATTCACGAAGTATCCTAATAAAAGCTATTAACGTAGGTTGTACGAGATATTGCGGTAACTATCTCGGGCTAGAAACTTTTTGACCGCCCTTTGTATATATTAGGCTTTATAGAAGAAAATGTAATTCAATGGCGAAAAAATGTTAATTCTCGGTGCAAGAACAACATCCGACACCAATAAAACCGATTTCCAATTGGGTTTAGAGGAGCCATAAACACCCCATTTTCATATTTTTTTCGCTACTTTTTATAAAAATAATGAATAAATACTTAGT